GTGATCGATTTCCTCGTGGTCATCATTGTCTACGCAACCCTCATGCAAGGGTCGCAACCCCCTGTCCACGTCATAGAGACGGAGAGACATAGCTCGACGGGATTGATGTAAAACTGAGAATTAACAGAGGCCATTTGGATATAGTAATTGACTGAATTCCAGGAATGGACATTGATGCCCTCTGAGTCAGAATTGCTTAGTGCCCTATCATCAATTTTTCTTCGCCTTTATGCAAACGGCCCACTCTCGTTACTTCTATACAAACTAGCGAGGAAGAGAGCCCCCTGAAATCTAATGAGTGCAATGTGTGGAGAGAACATACGTTATCTTTGCTTCTATACTTTAATTTCGGCACCATAGCTGTCTTGACAAGAGAAGATCTTATGGCTTTGCAACAAGACTGACCAACAGCAAACATCCATACTCGTCGATAATTAGGCCCGACCTCGTCAGTGGGGGATTGAGCAGTTCTTTTCCTGGGAATACGTTGAAGAAACGGAAGGAATATGCTTCTAGGTTGGTGTCCACATGAAACAATTCTCAAGCACTTATCAATCAGAGGATTCTTAATGGTGATAGAGGCCAAGCAGCATCATCGGAAGGTGTTCATGACGAGGACAGTGGAAGGTGGCGATTTGGGCAAAGATGGAGCTATCAATTGGGAAGCTACGGTTAATCGGCCGTTGACAACTATTACAGCTTGTTCTTCTTGTATTTTTAAGATATTTTTTTTTATTTTTTTATCCAAATCGGTTTTATCCCATTCCCTTGCTCGAGTTTCTTTTCCGGCATTTTATCTAGATATATCTGGGTTGGGATAATGACACAAACGATCTCTGAACTTTAGCCCAATGTACAATGTAGTCCTTGAACTTTTAATTTGTTCAATATGATCCCTAAACTTTCGATAAATGTTTTTTAATTTTGTATCCAATTCGGTTTTATCCCATTCCCTTGCTCGGGTTTCTTTTCCGGCATTTTATCCACACATATCTGGGTTGGGATAGTGACACAAACGATCCATAAACTTTAGCCCAATGTGCAATGTGGTCCATGAACTTTTAATTTGTTCAATGTGGTACATGAACATTCGGTAAATGTTCAAACTAGTCCCTAGACAATATGAAAATATCAAATGTTATCCTTTCATTAATTTAAGTTAAGGAACAACATTGAACAATTTTATATAGTCCAGGGACTAGTTTGAACATGTACAAAAAATTCAAGGATCACATTGAACAAATTATGGATGATGAATAGTCCCTGAAAATTGACCCAATGTACAATATGGTCATTGAACTTTTAATTTTTTCAATATGATCCCTCAACTTTAGCCCAATGTGCAATGTAGTCCCTGAATTTTTAATTTACTCAATGTGGTCCCTAAACCTTTTATATATGTTTAAATTAGTCCATGAACTTTTAATTTATCAATGGACAATTTATATTTTGTTTAAAATTTCCTTTTTGTTTCTTATTTCCTGTCTCTTTTTTTCTTTTCTCCTTATTTCCCTTCACCGGTTGCCATCTTCAGCAATGGCTGGCTAAGGTTGCCGGCCACAGGCGAGGGTAACCCTCGCTCAACTGAGGACCCTCACCATCTAGGCGAGCCTACCCCTCGTCGGCGGAGGGAAATAAAGATAAAAATGAGAAAAGAAAGAATAAAAGGAAAAAAAATTCAGAATTTTTTTTAAAAAAATTACAAAAATCATCCATGCCAACGCCGGTCTTGCCATGTAAGACGACCGGCATTGACTAGATCGTCATGTCACCGATTTCCGGCCAAAATTAGCCGGAATGACTAAATTGGCAAATCATCAAAAGGTTGAAGACTAAATTGGCCAATCGTCAAAGGGTTTATGACTAAATTGACACAATTGAAAGGTTTTTAAAACTAAATTAGCTATCGTACAATAGATTTATGACTTTTGGGATAATTTTTCCCCTAATGCTTTGATGTCTAGGTTATGTAAGGCTCCGTTTATTTACTTCATGAAGAATACATAAATAATTGAACATATTCCATGGTTAAACTTGATTCTTCATTTCTTTGTTGTACGTATTCTCATTTATCAATAATCAGTTTGAGTTAAATCCGAAAAAACAAGAAAAAAAAAAGGGAGGCCAATTCTTAAGGTTGCCGGAGCTTTTATCGTATGGTACGATCAAGAGTATCGCTTGATCTGTTGGCCATGGTGAATCACATTATCTCATAGAACTTTATTGATTCATGTACAAAAAAATAGATTTTTCTCGTGCCTGTAAATTTCAATATGCTCGAAAGTGTCAAAAAACTTTTTGTGAAGAAAGTGACGTGTGTGACTTTTTTATTGCAAATTACTAATTTTTGTAATAATTTACTTGCTTTCATTTGCATAACGTACCAAGGCTTCAAATAAGCTAATTTTTACTTGAAATTGCTAATCTAAATCAAAATGGTTTACCGACTTTGGTCAAATTGAATTATCAACTGGTTTAGAGTATCAACATTTGAGTTACTTACCAATGTTTGGTGTTTTTTACCAACTTCTCTATTGAGTTACTTACCGCCAACTTTTTGTTTCTTAATTGGCCAACTTTTTCTTTGGAGGTAAGAACAGCATTGGTGCCAAAACTTGTGTACGGAGGCCACTTTGGTGCCAAAAGTTCCATTTGGATCGCTTTAGTGCCAAAAAATTTGAAAAACGATCTTTTAAGTGCTAACTCCGATCTGATTGGTCGGAAATCTGACGTGGCAATTTTTTATTAGTATTTGAAGCCGACGTGGCTCGCCGGAGATACAGTGAGCACGCACAGTCAACATTTTTTATTTTAAATAATTTTTTTTCTTTTTTCCTTTTTATTTCTTTTCTTTCTTTTTTCCTTCTTTTCTTTTTTCTTTTCTTTCTTCTCCCTTTGGTCACCGCCGGTGACCGGAGGCCGGCCACCGGCCGCGGCCTCGTCCGGGCGAGGCCAGGCGGCCGGTGGCCGGCCTCCGGTCACCGGCGGTGACCAAAGGGAGAAGAAAGAAAAGAAAAAAAGAAAAGAAGAAAAAAAAGAAAAAAATTCAGAAAAGTATTTAAAAAATCGAAATATATACATGGAAATGCCACGTAGACTAATTTTTTTTTAAAAAAATCCAACTAAGATTAAAAATTTAATTATAAATGCCACGTATTAATTTGGCCGGAATTTCTCGCCGTTGACACCAAAGTGATCATTTTTCCTCCGATTTGGCACTAAAGTGATCCAAATGGAATTTTTGGCACCAAAGTGGCCTCCGTACACAAGTTTTGGCACCAATGCTGTTCTTCCCCCCTTTTCTTTGTTATGGGTTCGAAAATAAGAAAACACAACTGCTTTTTTCTCATAGAACTCCACTTTCCTTTTCAATCCAGTTTTTCCCATTAATGGAAACACAGCTTGGTTGTTTTTCTCATCTCTTTTTTCCAGAGAACTACTATCATTCTTTAGCAATTTCAAAATTAGGGGAAGCCACCAAACTTTCTCTTATCAGGGAACTACCGAAGCTCTCTTTGTTTTGTCAAATGAAGGCATGCATACCGTTCCCACTCGTGTATATAAGGATTTGTGAATGAATTGTAACACTTTAAATCTCACATCAAATTGAAAAGGCGTTGCAAAGCGATTGATAAATAAGACTGACCCCTAAATGGTTGATTTGCACCGGGCTAGTGCCGACGACCTCGCACTCAGCCTTGTTGCCCATAAACACCGCACCACCCTTAATAAACTGATTATCTGAAAGGAGTCCCTATGTGATCTCATGGGGGATGCGCATCCGAAATCCACGATCCACTTGTCTGCAATCAAACCGATAGACATACACAAGATGTAGTTCGACTCTTCCCCACTGGCTTGTGCGACATTCGCGTCGCATTTTCGATCTCTCCGCTTCTTTGGCTCTGGGCAGTTCCTTGCAATGTCGATGTCCTATTAACAGTTGTAATTTCTAAAAGGCTTTCTCCCCGTTGTAGATTTCGATCTGGACTTTTTGTCTGCTGCTAAAACTTCTCTCGGTGTTCCTACCTCTGACCATCAAGCTCTCTTCACTTTTTTTTCTGATCATTGCCCTACAACTTCCTTTGTCATTTTTTCTGTGAGATTTGGTGGGATCACTACCAACTGTTCCAAAAGCTTAAGCTATTAGATGAAGGTGTGGTTTAATATTTAATTATTCTAACACTCCCCCTCACGCTAAGTCAAGTATTTTTTCCTAGCACTAAGCGTGAACATATTTAATTGGAGAGGCAAATGGGGTCTGGAAAGATTTAAACTCAGGATCTCCTGCTCTGATACCATGTGAGATTTGGTGGAACCACTGCCAACTGTTCCAAAAACTTAAGCTATTAGATGAATGTGTGGTTTAATATTTAATTATTCTAACACTTTCAAGGACGGTGCAGACTTCACTGCCTCAAGGGATATAGTTTCACTCCTCATGAGCGAATCACAAAAGAGCTCATAAGAACTGGGTAAAGAGCAAAGTATAACCTACCATTGATCATATACCGTTCACATCCACATTTTTCGTGTCATTGATGACTTTGTTATATTCAATCAATTGATCATGACTCCATGTTCCCTCAACCATCTTGAAAAAAAGGTCAGGGACTATATTGAACAAATTAAAAGTTCAGGAACAACATTGAACATTAAACCAAAATTCAGGGACTGTTTGTATCATTTTCCCTAAATATATCACTATATGTATCTCCTCTTTCTTGTGAGGCCCAATATTATTTATTATTTTTTGCATTGTGGTGACTCGCCGCCATTACGGTCCAATCATGGCTCGAGTAAGCTCACGAAGGCTTTAAGCCTCATTTTAGAAGCTCAATCGCAGCCCTCAAAAAACAGACATTTTTCCCGAAGTCGGGCAACATTGGATCCTATCAAATTTTCATTGAGTTATCCGAGACAGGATTGTCGTCGCGTCATTGTCTGCATGAATTTTTGGTCAAACAACCTCTCCATATACATTCAAACTCAGCAAACACTGTACAAATGCATGCCAAAAATAGACAAATATAATATATTCTTTCTTACATAAGAAAGGGAGGACACAACGGTCGTATATACAAAGCAAAATCTACTCTTTTGGCCTCCATTCCCACCACCCATACTTAGAAACTGACTCTAGTGATTCGCTCTGTACACCAAGAACGCTTCAGAACATGAATGGAGCCGGAGAGAAAGCTGGAATGACCGCCTGGAAGGAAGCCCTCCTGCAACATCAAACCCAGTCATTCATTCATTCATTCATTAATTGATTCATTAAGTCAATCTGCGTGTTCATCTTCTTGAAATTAGGAACAGAACGAGTCTGGAATTGATTCCGAAAGGGCAATGCTATCGTCCAAAAAGAGAAAAACTTTGGGGACTGATCACCAAGTGGGATGAGCATTCCCGAACCCACGTGTTCATCTTCTACTGATCGTATATTAAACTACGATGAACATCTTGATCCTTGAATGTCGATTCAAGTTCAAAAAAAATAATCATATGCCTGACCCCATCTCTAAGATTTTCCGAATGACCAAGAAGTTAGTTCGCATATCAGCATCCACCCACCATCGAATACGTCGCCAACCACCATAACCAAAGCTTCACCTGCTAATCCCTGTTCCTGTGATGTCGACAGCGTTGCTTACGCTATACTTTATCTATTTCATTTTCATCTGATGCACGAACGGTTGTGTTCTGCAATTTGCTCCCAGAACAAAAAGAGCAGAAACGCAACACATCCGTTCATCCAAATCGGTTGCTAGAAACCAGGGAAGGCGCTAAATCAATCAAATCTGTAGAATTGCTTATGCATATATGATAAGAGGGAGGAGAGACAGAGCCGTCACCTGTGATCGTACTCGTCGCCGTTGAAGACCCGGTCGTGGACCCTCGCGTACGTCCCCCCGCTCCTCTTCCGCGAGGTGGCGGACCGCTCCGCCTCCGGAGCCGGATCCGCCGCCGCCTTCTTCCTCCTCTCCCCCGCCCCTCCTCCGCCTCCACCTCCTCCGACTCTCTCCACCGTCACCGCCACCACGTCCTCCGATATCGCGCACAGCGACGGCTTCCACTCCTCCGCCGCAGCCGCAGCCGCCCCCCTCCTCCTCTTCCTCCTCCGCCCCGTCCACCTCCGCCTCTCCCCCTGCTCGCCCTCCGGGGGGGCCGCCTCCGCCGGCGGCGCCACCGCCCGGATCCGCTCCCCCTCCTTGCGGGGCGACCCGCAGCACGGGACGAGCTCGAACAGGAACCTCATTCCGCGGGGCGGAGACGATCTGGAACCGATGACTTCGTGCGCGGGAGCGAAGCCCGTGGACGAACACTTGGCAGAGACGACGAGCCGGTTGCGCTCTGGGTTCTCGTTTTATATATGGAGTCCATGGCGAGAAGAGAGAGAGAGAGCCTTTCTCCTTTTCTTTGTCTTATCCGGAGAAGGAAATTACGAGGGAGTCCTCCTCGTTCTGGTTTTATCGGTAATGGGATTTGGAAAATTACTGGTGGCCTGGTGGGGCCCGTCGGCCTTTTTTTGTGGGGACAGCTCGTCTCGAGCCCTAATTTGCCTCCACGTGGATTATCCGACTTACTATGCGGAGCCGAAATGGCAAAATAGAATTCTTGTCCCACTCTCTCTCTTTTTTTTCCTTCTTTTTTTTTTTATTTTATTTTTCTGATAGTGTTCGTGGAGTTGATATGCCGACAACTGCAAGGATCAACCGAATCGGATATCGTTTAGAAGATTTCGAAATCGAAATGGGATGAAGTTCTTTGATCGTGTGAAAAGTGGCCGTGGCATTTGAAAAGTTGGTTCGGTATCCACAGATTGTGACGAGGTGTCGGCAGCAAGTGAAATTTAATGGTCAGATGACTTGTTCTTGCATAAGCAGATTTTCAATTGATTTTAATTCTTCCGTTACACTTTAGATTGCTATAATCGCGGCTATGGCCCCATTTGGTTCAGCATTTGAAATGAGCATGGGGGCTCTAAAGTCTCTTAGCTAAATGTAAATGGCCTTTGGCAATTTTTTTGAAGTACTTTGGGAAAATGCAATTCCATTTCCAAAGGACTCTATAGGTCTTTAGCCCAAGGCAAGTCCGGAAGTATTTGGCAAGTTGAACTTTCGGAATGTAAGATAACTGTTTATTGTAGCACTATTCATCTTCTCCAAGCAGTAGGTCCGGCGGCCGGCGACCGTCGCCTGAGGGGTAGCGCGACTTTGGCGATCGCCGCCTGGGGGTCGCGCAACCTAGGCAACGCTTGGCCTAGGTCGCGCGACCCAGGCAACACCTGAGGTCCGGCGACGCTTGAGGTCGCGCGACCTCAGGCCGCCTCGCCTGAGGTTAGGCGAGGCTGGCCAGCGACCAGATCTAGCCATTGGCAGTTGCCCGGCGACCAGATCTAGCCGGCGGTTGGTGGTTAAGCTCCACCTCAAACGTACTTTTTAAAAAAAAATATTAGCAAAAGTCCTTTACAAAATATAGGTTTTACCAAACAGAATTTAGGCTAAAACTGCTTTCAAATGTGATTTTAAGATACACTTACCAAATACTATTTACATTTCGAAAAATCCCTTTAGGCCAAAAGTATTTGCATTTTGCCAAAGGCATTCTCCCAAAGTCGAACCAAACGGGCCCTATATCGTGTGGTTCGCGGTACTTTCTTTTTGTACGGATTGGTCAAGTACCTGTGTTCTTGCAAATTTTGCGATCATGACAATAACATTTTTTTGTGAATTGAACAAATGTGTATTGAATCGGAAGTTGACTATACTGATGCATGTACACATAGATCTGAAAACAAAGCATATGAACAGCAAAATTCCTAGATGGACTGTTGAGGGATTCGCGGGAACTCGAGTCCAAGATTTGCAGAGAGAGAGAGAGAGAGAGAGAGAGAGAGATTACATGTCTTTTCACGTTTGCTATGAAGAATACAGCCAAAAAGAAAATCTGTGAAGGAAAAGAACAGGATCCACTCGCCCGATTTCCCAACTTGACGATTTTGGCACCCCGTTGAGCTAGAAAACAAAAGGAAAAGTAAAATGGGAAAAAATTACCAAAAAAGTATTAAATTTATTTCATTGGTGCCAATTTAATTCTAAACATTTCAATTATGTCAATTAAATCTTAAATCTTTTCGCGTTTTGCCAATTGAATCCATCCATCCATCCATCCAATTTTAGCGAGAAATCTCCGACGTGGACAATTTTTTTTATTTTTTTTTCATTTTCTTTCTTTCTTTTTTCTACCAAGTCCAACGAGGGTCGGCCGACGAACAGAAAGCCCTCGCTAGTCACGAGGGAGGGTCGAGGCCCTCGCCCACATCTAGTGAGGGCTGTCCAGCGCTTGCTCAATAGCGAGCGAGGGTTGTGCCTGGGCGAGGGTTAGCCGGCCCTCGCCTATGACCAGCAGGGGTTGGCCGACCCTTGCCTATGACTGACGAGGGTTGGCCAGCGACCCTCGTCGAGCTTGGAAAAAAAAGGAAAACGAAGAAAAAAAATTCTAAAAACTTCAGAATTTTTTTTTAAAAATTATAAAAATTGTTCACGTCGGCATTAACCATGTGCCACATAGGGTGACCGGCGTCAACGTTAGCGATTTACGGCTAAAGTTGCTCGGATGGACTTAATTGACAGATCCTTAAAAAGTTTAGAACTTAATTGGTACATTTAATTATTTTAGGACTGATTTGACACAATGAACGCATGGCTAGGCGTTTCCTCTATTACCAACTTGGCAGCCCCATCGTCAGCTCGTATAACACTAGGCCTTTGGACTTTACGTGGAGAACGCGGTGATTTACGCCAATCGTATGGGAAGGGCACAATGACTACCGCATATTATAAGGTAAAGTTGTTATTTTTACCCCCCAAAAATTGGTTGACAGTTACAAAAAAAAATTGGTTTTTTTTATTCATGGGTCATTTTTCTATTACTAGTGGCATTTATTCTCGTGTGGATGGGGGCATATAAAATGGGCGTTGCCAGTCACAGCTTCCTTGAGCCACGTTTATTGCTTGAAAGCCATGTTTGTTGCTGGGTGACTCGTTTGGCCAATTAACTGTCCATTTGAAGTAATCAAATTTGGTTGGCTCTTTCTCTGTTGAGCCAAGCCAGCAGTCCAATCCAAAATGACTACAAGACAACAATCGAACATGAGGTGCTCAAAAATAGTTGCTTGCTCATTGGACAGGACAGAAATAGTAGCTTAGCATTACTCCCTCACAGGAGGAGGACAAACCCTAAAAATTGTTCAAGATCGGGTGTGGGGTTTGGATTCCTGCTCTTTGACTATGTTGCTGCTTGCTATGTGTACTTGGTTTTCACACGTGAAAGACATGTTGGGACACTGTTCACAGGGTCGTGACTCATGAGCTTATCGTTATTTTCTTCAGTGTTCTTCCCAAGGAAAAAGAAAATACCGTTTCCGGTGACGCGCAGATGAACTGGACTAGTGTAGTCGGATAATTGACTGGGGAAAGAACTGCTGAAAAGTGAGAAAGATGTAATTTAAGATGTAGGGTTTATCTTGAGATGCGAGTACGGGTGTTACATTAAAGATCGTGCTGTGAAAAAAAAATTAGAGATGAAAATGGTTTAAGGCGTGGAAGCAAAGTCATCGAAGATAATTTTCGCCCTTTCAATAAGTGCAGTAGGTGAGATGCTTCGAGATTGGACAGATCTTCCAATCAGCGCACACCGCATCATTTAGGTGGAGCAGAAACAAGAAATGCAAGACCGACAGAGATTAAATGAGAAAGTGAACTTATTGATAAAATGATCAAAACGACATTCCCAAGCAATTTGGAACTAGAGAAAACATGTTTGAAATTTCTTTATGCAACAATCATAACACTATACAATGGAGAAAATGTAATTCTCAATCTCTTTCACAATACTTGAATCGGTATTTGGTTTTTCTTTTTTTCTGATAATTTCAAGGATACAGGTCTAGAAACCCCACTATTTCCATGCATCCTATAAGTTCCAAAAACTAATTAAGTCCGGACTTTTGGTCTGTGCATATGATCATGGCATAGAGTAGTTTACACGCAGTTATTAGGATTTGAACATGCAACCTATAATTTCTAACTTAGAAATCACCCAATTGATCTTTTAATTTAATTGAGTTTGGAGTTAAATTTATCTGGTCGAGTTTTGACAAATTGGGGCAGCCTCCACAGACCTCTAGAGAGATATTTTGACATTTCACACAGTGAAATCTAGTATACAAAAATGGCCTTTATGTCACAAGCTGAGTCCTTTTGCACATGAGAAAAAATGATCATTTTCTTTACTTCTTTCTCAACAACCCCAAAACGGGTAAGAATTTGTTCTTATGTTAGATTAAACCGTACAAATTTAGAAAATGGTTTGACGTCACTATAAGACATACTGCGGCGAGGCTATTATGACGTAAGTGGGATTTTTGGATTAATTTGACAAATTAATTTAATGTGATAATATTTAAAAGTTGATCCTTCTTACCTCATTTATCTTTTGTATGCACTCATTTGCCAAACTCATTCATTTTTTTAATAATTCTGGAGCACAGGCATGGAGACCCAACTACCTGAATGTCCGTAGACTCTACAACACATCCTTCAATCTCATAAACTGGTTGAGTGCAAGCCTTTGATCTATGCAGTGGCCCCGACGAAGAGCTGTTTGTACACGATTAGCATAATTTGAACAAGCGGCCTCTAGTTTTTTATCTGGGAATCCCTCAAATACTCCAATCAGCTATGCCCGATCAGGGTTTATCTGTAACTTTTTAGGTAGTTCACATACTCTTTTTCCAAGTATATCTTCTTCTTTGGCTACAAGTCCGAGGGTTTAGCCAAAGAGGGACCTGACATGTCTACATAGACATTATCGAGTCCACGTATACCACGGCATTTTCCAGAATCCAGAGCGCATGTCGTCCCATCTTTTCCCTCTAGAAATTTACCTTCGTTCCTCATCATCCATCCAACTTCAAGAAGAGGAACAGCACTCTCACAATCTGTGATGATGACCCACCTTCGTGATTAAGGGCGCGATGAGTCGTGCCACAAGAATAGATGCTGAAAACGCACGTTCATAGCTGCTGAGAAACGAAGACGCCATTGAAGTATGTCTTCTTCTGCTACCTGCAACAGAGTAATTGGTCGCGGTTGAGAAGGAACCCTAAAATATCCCCATGTTATGTTACTATCGATCTTAATGGAATCTTCCTTTCTTTTCTTTTCTTTTTTTTCTGCTTGTTCTCGTTGCTTCCATGAGAGGGCAAATGCCCATTGGTGTGTTACTTGCGCTGTATATTCCAAAACTGATATTCTTTGTGTTGGCCAAGTTCAAGCCACACACATAGCACGAGTCAAGTGAAAGTAACATAGCAATTGATAGTACTTGTGCCAGATCATC